ATTGATGAAAACAATTTGACTAAGATGGGTGGATTTGTACTACGGGAGGACAAGCGTTTGGCATCAGCTATTTTATAGTTGAAACCACATGAATACAGGAAATTGGTCGCAACATCAATTGGCCGAGCAGATCGAGGAAAATGTTTTAGCAGGAAGTTGTAAGAACGCTTCTGTCTATCACTAGATTCACTGGCGATCAGGTGAACAAGTGAGTCGAGACGCCTACATTCTTCAGAGGGAATATCGGAGATGTTCCCGTCGAATAAATGTCCAAGAATTGTCAGCAAAGAGCCAAACTTTAGCATAAATTCATTGCAGTGGTCAAGTGCAGACAGATTAAGCTGCCGACCAATTACAACGGGTGACGACTGACTAGTAATATCATCTGACTTAGATTTAGGTAAAGCTTCTGACTTACGTTTAGTTAGGCCATGTTTACTTACAAGAGCCGAGAGCTTACGTCGACCGAACGCTTCTCAGGTACATTCCTGATTTACAGTTTCTTTAGCTCTATTGCCTGCAACGATCGTAATCTGGACATATGGCAAACAGGGATTTCTTGTCTGCTCTCCGGTCCTACCGGAAAAAATTACGATTTTTGAGATATACAATTATGCGAAAGGTGTTCTGAAAGCTCTAAGATGGTATTCCTCGTGTCAGCAGCGTTTATGGTCACGGAGGCATTTTATCTGTGTTCTGTGTCTGATGGATTATCCTATCGAACGTCATAGTGGTACCGGTCAGCGTTTAATTAATCCAGGAACTATAAGTAACCTGAAACAACGGCAACAAAGGTGTTATGTTAATGTAGGTACTGATGTTGGAAGACAGTTTAAAGAACTTCCGGTTTCGGCTCTTTTTGCCTTTCCCTTCGGAACCCAAATCAACGGAGCCCATGCAGACACTAGTTAAAAGCCATATCATTTGCCAGGACTATTCTTCAGTCGCCCGTATGCATTAGTTTATCGAATTATAATAAACGATTTATGTGGCAGCCCTCCACAATGTTTCGTACAACAATGACGCCTGCACCGTTTACTACTTCTTCAAAATTCGTACTGCATTTATCGACTTATGAATGAGGCAGATCGCATTTGCTAATGTTTCTGATCTCGAAGTAGAA